CTCAGTCAAAAATGTTAACGTTAGCTATGTAATTAAAAGAGTATTAAATGAATAGTTTAGGAATACACAAAATTTGCAAGCAGGCACCAGAAGAGCTAAATAAACTTACTTAGTCACTTTAGTTTTATCTTTGGAAATGTCCTCTTCACTGCCAGAGGTATATGAGCAACAGCCTCAGAGTTCTCATGCTCTCTCTCAGGAGGTTGAGTTTTGTCTGTTTATGTGTGTGTTTCTTTTTGTTTCTTTTGTTGTATTAGACTTTTTCTTATATAGAATTCCCTTTGAGAAATTACCCATTCAGATTAACTTTCACGAAATACTGTGGAAGAAACGAGTTTTCAATACAAGAAAACATTCTCAAGCTAAACACACTAAAATTACCCACACCTTTGATATTTTTCCCCTGATTTAGCATTTTCTTTAGTAAATATTAGCAAGGCCTGGTCTAAAGAAGATTATGATATTAAGCTCTTTTTTTTAATGCAACCTCAACACATTTCCTTCTCAATTTATTTCAAGAATTATTACTGGAACCTCTTGAAGAAAAGCATTCTTCTATCTTCATAATTATCTGAGAAGCAAAATAAGTAAAGTAAAGCAAAATAAAGAAAAGTAAAAAGAAATAAAAAGCTGTGTACATATGTTCATCTCATTTTTCCCATGTCTGATATCTCCTGGATTTCACAGGGTTTTCAGAGGATCCAATTCCAACTTAGAATAACAACTGTTAAAATACAAGAGTAATGTTTCTACGTTTACAAGTCAGGAAAAGCAAATGTCAGCATTACTGAAAAGACAACTGAAGAAGGAAAAAAAAAAAAAAAAAACAAAAAAACCCTGAAAGCTAACACCAGGTAGCCCATTTCTTTTATACACTTAACTTCATTCCTAAGCAAAAGAATTTAGAGAAAATGCTTGCATAAATTAGACTTGTACTGTGAATTTTAGTATTCCCACTTTGCAGGTGAAGAGTGGGAAAAGAAGGGATGGAAAATAATTTTCTTTAACAGGTATCAATATTGCTTGCAAACCTAATTAATTCTTCCCCTATCAAAAAAAAAAAAAAAAAAAGTTCATTAATTTCTAGCTCTTACTTTGTGTTTAAAAATTTTGGTGCTAGCCTGAAACTGCTGTACCCTCACTCACCTAACAGACAGATCTCATTTCTTCTTTGATGTCATCCATGCCAATCACGCTTATTCACGTTTATACACTGTTTTCCCTCTAGAATACATCACTAATTTAAACAGGCAAGACTAATCAGAAGCTTCAAGAAGAACTTTTATTTCCTGGTAGCATCTTGATATCAATAAGTATAATATAACGATCACACACGGCTACTCTTCTTCAGATATCCTCCATCCTAATTTCTACATGCATCACTCGGTGAAATCAGGCTCTCCCTTTTACAACATAGAGAGCTAGTTAGACTTAATCTAAAAAATAACTTGTATTTTGCTTACAGTATCCTTGATACTTTGCAAATGAGTTCTGTAATGTGCCCAAGGATTCATAAGGTACACTTGTGTAGTGGAAATACTAAGTCACAGCCCAAACCAGTGATTGAGCACCTGGTGGAAGGCAGGGCCAACCAGGGGAGCTCAGCTGTATGCAGTGCCCCTGAGAGACCAGAAGGATTGGAGCCAGAATCCAGCCTTTCCCAGACCTCATATAAGGGTGGGCAGTGGAGGTGACAGCATCTCTTGATGGAGATCCTTGTCTACCTAAGGCCCTCCAAAGGTAAGTAGCTCTTTTCCTTCACTTCTGCATCTGTGGCTTCTGTGTTTTGGCTTGTTCTCATTTGTTACAGCCAAAGACTTTGCCACCCTGCTATTATTGCAGTACTTTCCATTCCATTATAGCATTACACTTTGTAATACATAAAACATTGGAAGTCATAGCAATTTACTCTTCCAGTTTTGTGGGATAAAGGTTTTAATAAAACAACCTGAAAAAGAAGAAATAATCAAGTGTAACTTAGCCAGGACTACTGTCATTCCTTTTGTTCATTTTGCTTTTCCAGCATGATAATTGAAGGGATGATCCAACAGGATAAATGCTGAAGGAAAAAGCATTCAGACATCTTAAGGCAAAGGCTGAACTCAGGACTCCACATAATGCTAAATTCATGGACTTACGTACTTAACTGCTTTCTATTTTGAGACTCACTTGGAATGTTCTCTCTTGCTCAGTAATTCACTGTCAGAGTGCTTAAATGTAGAGCTACAGCTGTCCAGCAATGCTTTGTATTTTCTGGAATCTGGAAGAAGAACGATTTAATTATCAGAGATATAGATAACAATGTTTTGTTACTTTTTCAATTCTTGTACCAATACACTTCTATCACAGAAACCAAAACATTGTCCTTGCAAGCAGTATAAATTATACTGGGAATACAAAAAAAAGCTTATAGGCTCTGTCTTGACAGGGATAACCATATCTAGCCTTCAATGAGCAGTTTACATTGAGCATGACCTAAATCAGCTGTCTGTTTCAGACACGCGCAGAGTTTATCAACTGTTGACATCAGCTCATACAGCTGCAAGGTTTTTTTTGTGGGGGGGGGGTATTCTGTGTGTTTCCTTCTGACCACACCTTAGAAAGCACACACACAGACTCCTCCACTTCCTCTGCAATAGCAGCAGTAAGGGACCACGTTTGATGACAAGTATATGCAGTGATTAAAGTAGAATAATGCAGTAATTTCTGATTACTCGTATATATCTTTAAACACTTGTTCTCAAAAAAAGTCCAAGCTTTAAAGCTTGGCATCACACCAGCATGCTCTAAAAGATGAAATCATTGTATAATTGTCTTTCCTTGCTCCCCTACCTTGTTTCACAATGCACCCAAAACTTCACTTTTTGACTTCTGCCTGCTGATTTATGACCACTTCATATTAGTTACAGCAAAGCCATGCTAGCACAGATTTCACTGGGTAACTGGAACTCTGGCTATGGTAAAAATTGAGCTTGAATGCGTGGTGAAGGCAGAATAAGTAGGACTTTCCCACGTAGCCTTTCTCACAATTGTGCTCTATGAACAGCTTCTGAAATTCTTCTTTATACTTAAGATTTGAGTAAGGTACATATTTTTCATACATTGATTACATAAAGATGTTTATATGATGCCAACATGTAGGTCACGTTTCTGACCCTGACCTTCCAAGTTAGAATTCCTTCTGTAGGTTAAAACTGCAACATAAGTAAAAAAAAAAAAAAAAAAAATCACTCAAGAACCCAAACTGTTTGTGGGGAATTTCCATTCACCACAGAAGGCACATACCTCAACAGTTTTATTCAAGTCTAGCCCTGTTCCTGAGACAATTCCCAATTTAGCCTGGGATGGTGTATCTTCACCTGTGACGCCTGATGTATGTGACAGCAAGCAGTGAGAAAGACCAGTGTGACCTTGCATTAAAACTGTTTCCTCTGATTTATGAAGTTTTCAATATTCTTTGTAGTACTGTGACCGTTAGACAACTGACAGGTTTTCTTCCTCTTTACTTTCCACTTTCCATCCCAGCCTACAATTGCCTGGCCACACAAAACAGAAATTAAAGCCATTAATTCCACTGAACTAAGCCTGCATGCAAATTTGTACATGTGCAAGCTTATGAATAATATCAATGTAGTGGAAAAATATCTCACTTGCGTACAGATGCACAGTCTCAGAGTAGAAATACCTTGATTTTGCTTTTATGTGAAATTAACTAATGGAGACATCATAGGCTTCTCCTGTACTGCATGATAGACAGCACTACAGGTTGCTGAGTTCGTCTGGTGCTCAGTGGAATCAAAAGAACACATAACGTTTTGAATTTGCTCGTAGTAAATTGTATGCTTCTTTTTGACCTCTCCTGTTCCTCTTTTCCCTCCAGAATTGAACCTGCAGTTCTGCATTGAACAGACCACGCTGGGCCCGTGGCCGCACAGCGATGCACTGAAATGAACGCAGCAAGCACGAGCGCTCGCATGAAGATGCACCTACAGAAAATACCTCAACTTGTACAAGCCTGGCAGGAAACAGCACAGGCGAAAACAGTTTTAATTACTTCCACGCAGCGTTTTGCATGAGCTCGATTAGCCCAGTGCAACGTCTGAAATGAGGGTGGAACGCGCGTGTGCGTACAGAGCGGGCAGCAAAAGCGCTCATGAACAGGTGGAACAACACGCAGGCAGGAAACCGAGAATCGCAGCGGGTGCCGCCGAGGGAAGAGGCACCGCTTCCTCACGGGCTCTACCCTCGAGGCTCTCAGAGCTGCCTCTGGGGACTAAGCGGGCACTGCCGGCCTCCGAACTCACCCGGCCCCCGCACGCTGTCGCTCAGCCCATTTACGCTTCGGAGAACCGCGTTCGCCGCCCCCGCTCGCCGCAACCTGCCGGCCCGCCGCTCCGGCTCCCAGGGCGGCGCGTGGTTGCTTGCCTTGTGGCCGCGAGGCAGCCGGGTTCGGGACGGCCACGAACGGCCGGGGGGTTTCGGCTGCCCTCGGCAGCGGTGGGACCGAGCCCCAGAGACCCTCAGCACCAGGGTTTTGCCATGCACCGCCCTCCCCGAGCCATCGCTGAGGGAAACAACGGGACTCTGGGAACCGTAGATTCACAGGAGGAGGAAACGCAGGAGGGAGCCGGGGACTTGAGGGGCGCGTTGCTGAGAGGAGCGCGCCGCACGCGCCCGCCCCGCCCGCGCGCCCCTCGCACCCGCCCCGCCCGCGCGCCGCTCTGCCCGCGAGGGAGCAGAAGCTCCCGGGCGGCAGCCGGCACCCTCCCGCCCCCACGCTCCCTCCCCGCCCCCCCCACTCCAACTGTCACGTGCTCCGGGTGCCGCAAAGCAACGCCGCTTTTGCGACAGGGTGACAGCCAAATGGTGCGACATCCGCGGCGGCCGCAGGAGCAGCAGCCGCGGCGGCCGAGCGCTGCCAGGGCCGAGCGCCACGACAGGGCGGGGGAGCGCACGGCGGCACCGCACCGCACCGCGGCCCAGCGCGCGGCGCGACCCCCATGAGCGGTAGGGGGGAGGCGGCGGCCCCTCCCGCGTCCCCCTGCCTCAGCGCCGAGCGCTCCCCCCGCCCCCGATGCGCCCTTAGTCCCGGCCCCGGACCCGCCTCCCTCGCTCCCCTCCCCGGCGGCGGCGGCGGCGGCAGCGTCCAGGTGCGGACTTCAAACCCCAGCGCAATGGCGTCCAACGCGGCCGAGAGGGAGATCCTCTTCACCGAGCTGCAGGTAAGCGGCGGGCACCGCCCGAGCCGCGCTCCCCGGTGGGGAGGATGCGGCTGCCGCGCCCCGCCGCCCCCTGCCCGCCGCTCGGCGCGCCGCCGGGCGCCCACCCCGCTGGGCCGGGCCGAGGAGGCGGCGGCGGGGCGGAGGAAGCCCGCGCCCACCCCAGGCCTCTTCCCGCCGCGCTCCCCCGAGAGCAAAGGCGCCGCCGCCCGGTCACGGCCCCACCCCGCCGCCGGCCGCGATCCGCTTTTGTCTGCTGGCGGCTCGCTCGCTCCCTCCCTCCTTCCCTCGCTCCTTCCCCCGCGGCCCTCCGGCCCGGCCCGCGCCGCGCCCCCCGCGGCCCCGCGGCTGCCGAGCGCCCCCGGCCGCCAGCAGCGGAACGCGCTGCCCGTTCCGGGCACGGCCGAGAGGAGGGGGGAGGGAGTCCCGGGGGCTCCCGCGCAGGTTGGAGCCCGGGGCCGCTCTCCGCAGAACCAGGAGCGGTTCCTTTGTGCGGGCGTTGAGGTCCGAGCTGGGAGGAGGAGAAAATGGTCCCTAAGCGCCGCTGGTGGCACGGCGAGGGTTCATGTGGCTGCAGGACGAGACCCCCGGATCCGACGGCCGGCCGCTTCCAGCTCTGAGTTGGGCCGTCAGTGCCCCGTGCAACTGTTACTTTTCTGCTTGTCAGCTGCAGGCGTAGGCAAAATTCAGGCGCTTCGCTACTGTGCTCTTATCTGTAAATGTCAGCCCAACCTGCTGGCTCTTCCGCTTCCTTGTCTAAAGAGTGCTCGTTTTGTATTTTATTCTGTCCTTTTTTTTTTTTTTCTTTTTTTTTTTAAAATCTGTGTGAGTTACGGTTTATCTGGAAAAGAATGCATCTCTGGATTTGTTAGTTGGACAATTAACCAAACTAAGAAGTCCATAAATGGAAAGCATTGAATTTCATGTTTGAATAGAAGCAAGAAAGGCACGCTTAAAAAAGGAAATATTTATTTCATAAACGCTGAGAAATCCTTTGGTAGGTTTAAACGTTCATGCTCTGCTCACTGCAGTAACAAAGGAAAGGAAGGCACAATGGGGACATAGCGTCCTTTTTGAGACTGCAGCACACGAGATGGCTGAAGGCTAAAGATCCATCTGGAATGCTGAACTTTAATCAGCGACTCAAAAGTGTCTAGGAAGAATTGCTATGGTAATACAAACTTGATACGATGATATGTAAGCTGGTAAACCTGTTTGAAGTGGTGAGCTGTGTGAATAAGTAACTGTGGTAGTGCTACAGGTAAGCTGCGTGGGGCAGAGCTTCAGTAGGAGTACTGAGAAGGGGTGGGATTCAAATAGAGGGGCTTTGTTGTGTTTTGTGTTGCTTGGGGGTTGTTTGTTTTTATTTCATCTTTTTGGGAAGATGAAATTAACAGTGATGATGGATATTTGATTTTTAAAAAGTGGATCAGATGCTTTGGTTAGGCTGTCTCCCACATTATAGATGGTAACTTCCACAGCAGTAAGGGTAGTCCTAGTGCCTAACAGAAAACTTACAGAGTTAAGGTGGAAATCCCACTAGGATTTAAGCTTTGTAAAACAGCTAACTTTAGGTATTTTTTCAGAGGAAATTCTACATCAGGTTGTACCACTTTGAAGGTACTGCTTTCTTTTCAGTGGCACATACTGGCAAAAATCACAATACCCTTTTCCCTGTGAGTTAAAGGCAAATAAGTCACTCTTCATATACCTACAAATAAAAGCTACTTCAGTGGCATGTTCCCAAAGAAAGAGGAACTACAGTGAAATGTGATGCCATTTTGCTCATCTCACATCAAGAGAAAACTTCCTCAAACTAAGAGATACTGACCTCAGAGTTGTTTATGCTTAATCTGGGCTGTTCTGTGCATATCACAATTCTGTATGGAAAGGTATGGAAGTTGTAAAATGCAAGGCTGTGCTAAAAGCTGAGTGCCTCTGGTAAGTGGCTTGATTTAGATCGTGAACCGTGTGAGGTTTAGATGTTTTGATAATGCTCATGAAGACCTACTGAAAGCAGTTGAACAGTGCTACCGCTACGCTTGTTCCTGTCTTCGAATCTGAAGTATCAGTCAGTGATAAAAGTGGCATATGGGTTATTGATGCTGCTCTGTGTGCTTTTGTTGTGATGGCCCCAAGTGCTCCACTGTGCTGCGAGTGGTTAACTGTGAGGTTGGGATTCGTTTAGTGAAAGTGGCTCCATCCTCGTGAATCAGTGGGGCTCTCCTGGCATAAAAATCTGTAGACTTTCCCAACTGCTGACTAATGGTGAGAAGTGGGTTTTGGGTAAATAGGAAAAACAAGAGGGCAAAATCACTAACTGCTGCAAAGAAAGTGATAAAACAGATGTGACATATGCACTTGTTTCAGAGTGAACTCCAATTAGTCAACAGTCTGATTGCACTTCACAATGAGTTCTGTGCGTGCGTGTGTGTGTGTGTATGTGCACGCACATTAAACTTACATATAATCATATAAAAATTAATTTTTTTAAAAAGACTTCATATGTTTCTTAAATGCACTTACTGGCGAATATCCACATCTGTCCCACTACTGCTGCAAAGCATTTTTTCCCGTTGTTGTATGTTACTTCAGCTTTTCACAAACAGTGGGAACTATCTCTTGCTTCTAAGCAAGTTTTCATGTAAATTTGTTCCAGGCAAAAATCGTACCACTTATCCCTCAGTAGTCACCAAATGCATACTAGAACATAAATCTGGTGGTAACCAAGCATCCTTTTAGTTTGCTGTGTTTAGTGTGGCTCCAACAGGATTTCCTGCTTGCCAAAGACTGACTGAGAGCTCACATAAAGCCAGCTTACCTTTTTACCTTCTTTTATCTCCAGTACAGGTTCTTATGTAGGAGGGGGCAGGAGCTTGGGTAAGAACCTGTATTGCTGATGTTGCCTTCCCTTCCAAAATTCTGCTGTCCTTCTCTGAGCTTGCATCCTTTTAGAACTTTTACCAGCAGGCAAAGTGGCCTTGCAAGTGCTTGCTTTTGGGCTAATTGCAGAGCCTTTAACCATTTGCTTTTTGCTGGAAGTGACAAGAAAAAATGTTATGATTAAAAAATGCAGTCAGCTGTTAAAGTAAAGCATCCATGAAATAAAACTTTTTACATTCTGTATGAAAAACACTGTCTTTGCCTTTTCAAAATCCTATTAAAAAAAAAAAAAAGAACACATTTTTGAGGTAGTGTGCTTTTCTAAACACTTGTGCTTTCTTGTAAGTGACAATAGCTGTCAGCATAGTAAACTGGTATGGCCTAATAGAAGTTATTACTCAGGCCATTTAAATGAAGCCATTGTGTATGTAAAGTGACCGTGCTTCTGGGTGTTCCCTACCACTTCTTTTCCAGAGAGTAATATAAATGTTTTCATTTGTAGACTTCTACTGTTAATGTTACAGGATTTATTTTAAGGAAAGAAATTGCTCATTCAGAATTGTGCTTCCAAAGCAATTCCTATTTTGTTAAAAAGTATATTTGTTTTCATTTGCTAGAATTCAACAGCTGAAAGAGTTTTTCAAATGCCATCAAAATTATGTATTTATAAAATTACAAAATATTTGCAAAAAATGTTTCTATACATGGACTGGTCGGTATGACAGGATTTTTTCTTTCTTCCTCACTGATATGTTCCTTAATGGGCACCGTAGTCACCTCGTGCTCTCAGATGCTGTAGTCAGGAAACTTGGAAGTGTGCATTTCACATTAGAGTCATTTTAAAAAGGCTGTTGCTAACTGGTTTATTTAAAGGAGTGATGAACAATACCATGACTGAAATGTATGTAAAGTGAAGCTTATGCTTACTTGATGGCATTTCCTGTATAGTTTTTACTATTTGCTTTATTTTTCCAGTTTATATCTGAGATGAGCATATTCATAAAATGAATGTGATTGAAGAACGCTCAGTGTTTTGTTATCTGCACGCAACAAACGGGACAACTTTGTTTTCTGTGTAAAAGTGCATAAAGCGAGGTGCTTGAACTCACCCTGTTGACTGAGCTACCAGATGCATCTCTGCAGACCTGCATTTCCTTCCTGGCTGCTCTGCTTGCTGCCGGGTGACATTAGACAGACGACTTTGCTTACTCATGTTTCAATTTCCCCGTCTCTAGAACAGAGGTAATGATGCTTGCTTTTTAGGAGATAAAGAGTACTGGGTATTTATTATTAGCTGTGGTCAAGTGCCTAAGGACACTTTAAAAAGGTACAAGTAACCTAATTAATTTGTTTTGAACAGCCATTGTAATTAGGCTGGATATTCAGCCATAAGTCTACCTTCAGCTTCTGTTCAGCTAGGACAGATTAGCCTCAAATAATTTTGCATTATTCTTCTTTCTCCCAAACAAGAAAATGTCACATTTGGATGAAATTGCCTTAAACCATTGTGTTGCAGTTCAGACATGAAAATGTGTGTGCAGCTGCTTGGACTCCTCAGGTCCCTACAGACACTTCCAGAACTGGTGAATTTAGGGAAGCACTTCAGTTTTTTTTCCATTTGCGGGTATATATTACTCTTGAAACAGTACTCTGTTCAAAATTTGTATTAGTAAAATATACATCCTGTCCTCAGTGGAACATAAACAGTCCTTAAAATACCTTAAGGTAGGTGCATGTGTAGGCTTTGGTTTTGTTTTGGTTTGTGGGTTGTTTCCCCCATCTTCTGAATTCTGCTGGTCTGCCTGCTAACAGAAGTCCACACCATAAATCCTTGTATAAATTTAGTTTAATTTTCTTCATAGGGGCAGAGGTCTTTCTAGGACCCTGGTCTGTTATTGTAACTCAAAATACATCTTCGGTGATGGGCAGTAGAAAAGTAGATTTAGTTACAGTATGCTTAGTAGCTCTGTTGGAAAAGTTGTATACACTGTGAATGGTCATTCATCATAATGTAACCTAAAATCTATAGTAGAATAACTAGGTAAACATGTCTTTTGCATTGGGGAACAGTGGTTTAAGGGCTTAATAATGGGATTAGGAGTCTCTTCCTTCAGTGTCTC